TTAGTTCTTTAGAAGGAAAAGCATGCCAGGAATTTTTCTCAAAACTGGACTGGAGCTCGCGCAGGCCCCTCCCTCCCCAAGCTCTCATTCTTTCTTTGAGCAAAGATCTAAATGTGCTTCCAGTCCATTTGCTCTATGCAGACACATATTAGACAGCTAAATGCAGTCCAGGCGGAGCCTTACCCCCCCCCCCCCCCCCAAAACCCCACACCCTCACCCTCCCCTCCTTCAGAAGCTGTGTGAAAAATTTAACATGTCATCGGTACCATCGATCAAGTTAATAAATTAGCTTTTAGTTGTAAATCCTGTAAGATGGATGGTTAATTTTGGAAATGAGCTGACCTTGCAAGTGCCGGGTCAGTCCATGTTCTCTCTTTTTGTAGGCTGCGCTTGGACAAACGGATACCAAAGAAAAGTGCGTGGTAGAGTTTAGTTTTTTTGTTGCCGTTTGTGTGTTTTCTGATACGCGTTTCAGACGTTTACCAAAGGCCAAATGGGCTGCCGTAGTAGAACAGATTCATCTCTCCTGACAGACTGACACCCACACACACTCAGCTGGGAGATTTTTTGTAAGGAAACTTGCTTCTTAGCTAGAGAAACAGGCAGCCCGAAAAGAAAAGGAAAGTCTGCAGGACGGCAGCAACGGCGCAATAAATAATTTGCATCTAAAGGCTGCAATTTTTTTTTTCTCCCTAAATTTTAATTATGCACAGAAGTGCAAGAGTTTAATGCTGCCAGTTGCAATTATAGTAAATCTGTGTATATGCATTTTTAAAATCAGAAATCTAATATGTAATGTTTTGAACAATACAACAACAAACAATATTATAAGAATTTTATACACAATCCAAGGCTTGGCTGTTAGAAATGGCATCTATAAAGCTGCTGGACTCTTTGGTAGAAACATTACTGCAAGTTGTACTGTAACATATCGAACTTAAAAAGATGATTTTTTTTCTTAAATGCATGAAACGTAAATATGTAATAAAAGCATGCATAAGCACAATGATCACCGTGGAGTGTTAAATTCAAAAGATTTGAGTCTAAACGCAATCAAATAAGTTGGGAAGTGATCCAGATATATGTTGGGTGGTAAAAACAAAATTAAGAATCCCATCTTTATACATTTTGCTCCCACTTTCATTCGTTGAGAAACGATTATTGTTACAGAATCATTACTCTGCTGATGGGAGAAGATGCAGCAGCCTGGTGTGATAGTTGTGCACTGATGTTGGTTTGGCTCTTCGATAGGTCCACCTGAGTCGCTGCCATCCAGCAGGAAGAAAGTAGAACTTCCAGAATAACCCTTCAGTCGAAGCTTCAACAGGACTAGAAATCGGACTCTGGATTGTTGCGGTTTAAACAAAGAACTGAGCTCAAACTCGGCTTTCACTATGATTGTTTTGAACTCCACCAAAGCAGTTTCAGTCTCAGAACTTGACTCAAAATCGGTTCCTCCCGTTGCGACCCACAAAGCAGCGAAACTCCTTGAATCTGTTCAATCGATTCTAAAGAGAACAGTAAAAATTGGGTTTCAACAAAAAAAATAAAAGCATCAGATTTTGAAATGAGCTCCACCCTGTTTGGTTTATAGAGGACGAGTATTCCCAGTCTCTTCATGGTGTTAACCGATCAGTTGGCTTACAAAGATCTAGTTTTAAACTAGGAACAGCTCCCTGGTTTTTGTTCAAGAGGTTCTAGAGCCCCTCACAAGCAAAAAAAAAAAAAAAGGCCACTAGATAATCATTAAGTTTGTAGGCTTCCGAAACGGTCGTCTTACTCAACACTGTCGCTTCCTGTTCGATGTGCTTGGAGAGGTTTTGGGAATCATTTACTGAATGGACTCTGTTGCACTTTTCTGTTGCTTTGTGCCTCCTGCTTGGAGCATAGCTGAATATTCACTCATGAAAAATCTTTGAGTTGAGTTTAAGGCCATCCGGATAATGTGTATTCGACCCACAGCCAACGGTTCCAAACTGGTCTGCTAGAATTCCCAGAAAGATTCTACCCAATGTACTTTTCTTTTTCTTTTAGTTAGTGGGTGTGTCTTATTCAAACATTTTGGTCATTTTCTGAACCAACAAACATTAATGACATGATGTGTCAGACTTGTTGGATAACACGGATGTTACCAACCCTAAACTTCATAAAAAAAACCCAACTTGCCAATGGGAAATTGGGTTTTGTACATACATAGGCCACAGGTGTCCATGTTGTAACATGGGATATTTGCACAAAAAGTTATTTTAAAACCTCATTAGATATGTACCCAGTGCATATTAATTTGGAGTTTGTAAATTAAAGGACATTATTTACTTAAACCCAAAAAAAGCTTCCTGAAGCCTTAAACCCATGTAAGTGTATCATAATGAATCTTTTCTGCCCTTCTCATAAGACTCGCAATTAGTCATAATTAAAAGATAATTCTTGATTCCGGTATGTGTGGCCATCGTTGGCCTCTGTGACCTTTGCATTCCCGTACAGTAGGCCGATCGGAGAGTATTTGGTGTCAAACGCCTAAAAGTTGCCTCTCTGGCTAGGCTGTCCGAATGCACATTAAAGCCCATCAGCTGGTGCTTTCTGCCATGTTTTCAGAACTTCAGTGAAGGGGTTGCCGTGGCAACCGGCATTGCCCCTCAGGACTAGTTCCAAAGAGTGTGGAGTTGTTTGGCTGTTCGGAGAGAGCTTCTGTTGGCTGTTTCAGTTAAAAAACGGACGCCTGTCGGAAGTCGCCCTGATCCCGTCGGCAAAAAAAGAGGAGCCCACGTCCTCCGCTCTCAAATGGCCACCAATGCGTTTTGTTGGTTATCCGTCGAAGCCGATCTCTCGATGCAGGCGCCAAAAAGACAGCACATTTATCCGGGATAGGGTCCATTCCGTCCAGTGAATCTATGCATCTATACCATGCCATATCGTGTTTTCTTTTCTTCTTCTTTTTTAAAACGAGGTAAGGAAAAAGGGGGAGAAGTTTGCTCTGGTCTCATTTCTGTCCCCAGCAGGGCCCGGGCAGACCCTGACTTCTGCTCAGCTCTCCAGTCAATGAGAAAATGAACTTTGCTCTGGTGTGTCTTGACAATTGCTATTTATGTCACCCGTTCAAAGACACCCTCTGTCTGAAGGGGAAACTCCACAGTTGCTTGACCTGCTTTCCACAGTCACAGATCTGGTCTGTTTGGAGGGCAGCCGATGCTCAGGGCGCTTCCCTCACTGTACACCGTTCTCTTTGTCAAAGAGTCCATTTTCTCTCCTCCGCCTCCGAGAAGCCTTAAACCCCTCGGTCCTGGAGGTTATGCCAGCTGTACTACTCGGCACAGTGTGTATTCTGTTATCTAATAATCTACCACTGCTACGTTCCACTTAGCATCATTTTCTTCATGTTGTCATGTGAGAAAATTGGCTGATTGATACGTTTTCCAATGCTTTTATGCTGAACCGGATTTATATGCACACATTTTTCGCACCGCATAGGTGTGTGTGTGTGTATATGGGTGTGTGTGTGTGTGTATATAGGTGTGTGTGTGCATATGTGCGTGGGTATATATATGTGTGTGTGTGTGTGTGTATTGATAGGTGTGGATATGTATAGGTGTATGTGTATGTATGAATATATATGTATAGTAGCTGATTGCCTGAAGAAAAAGAATACAAAGTATTCTTAACATAAAAATGAATTATTTAGAACAAATGAAGTACAATTAAAAATTTGAAAAATCAAAATAATTTTTTTTTATTCTTTGAATAAAGATACAATTTTGATAGAATTATTTGAATAAAAATACCTTTCAATCTTACTTTTATGGGTGAACCCAGTGATTCTGACAGCCAGATGCCAGTCGTATTTTATTGTCAGGGTAAAGTAAAACTAAAGATATGTGCCCAGTCGCTTAATTTAAAACATTATTGGCTCTACTCGATTAACTGCAGCCGTGCTGGATGGGCATGGCATGCAGATTGTAAGCTCTATCAAGAATGAGAGTTACCTAAACTGCCGTGACTCAGACTTCCATTATGGGACGAGACCTCGGGCAGACCTGTAGAGGAAGAAAGCGAGTTGCTGACATGTGGGTGAAAGTGAGGACAGGACTGCCGTTTGGCCAAAGCGGAGAGATTCAGCCCTCTGCCAGTCCTGTCTTCTCAGTGCTCCTCTGCAGTTGATGACCGGAGTTTACAAAATTCTGACTCTGTCATCCTGCCTCAGACTTTCCTTCAGCCAAGAGTGGTATTTTGGTCAGGGAATATGTCCATATAAAGATACAGAGCCTTCTGTGGACATTCGGTGGAGGCTGAAGCGAGTGTGAGAGAGAGAAGGATCGTCGGGGTTTACCAAAAGTTCTCTCTGCGAGCCACCCCATCAGTTCTCGGGTGTATGACTCCGTCCCTGTGTGTGTTTGTGCAAGTGTGCACGGTGACTGATTCAGCCCGAAATGAACGAAACAAACTCTGTAAAGGTTTTTCTTTAGCTGAGGTGAACCAGTCGGGCCTCCTTTGGTCAGTCAGATATCTGCAACCCATGCCTCCAGGGCAACCGCTGTTTGGTGGCCCACCACAAGAACAAAGACATCCAGGGACCGCTCCGTGACCATAATTAAGCTCAGATATGTCCCCTCAAGTATTTTAAGCTTGTTTAGATTCTTGCGTAGCGACGTTCGATTGTCCGACTGGCAGCGAGGCCCGGATCTTTTCCTGGGCTCCCGGCGGGCCGGACTGAAGCAGCCCTGGTTTGTGGGGGGGGGACAGAAGAGGTCAGCCCGCTGCAAAAGCACCCTCCCCCCCCCCCCCTTTTTTTTTTTTAACCGGTTCCCGGCACTCTACGGGACCATTTAGAGCTGCTCGGAAGCCAGAGAGCTTTAGTTTTACTGCCCAGTTTGCTGACTGGACATGGAAAATGGCCGTGTATGTTATTTCCGTCCCCAGAGCCAGTGCTACAGACCACACGACCCGTCCAGTTAGCCCCCCGAGCCAATGTACATGCGGTGGCAAAAAGTGGATTACGCGTGAGGATGGATGACCTTTGCCCCCGCGGTTGGCTAACCGCCCGCTTCCTCTCTGCGTTTTCAGGCACAGGAGAAAGTGGCAAGAGCACTTTCATCAAGCAGATGAGAATCATCCACGGGTCGGGCTACACCGACGAGGACAAGAAGGGCTTCACCAAGCTGGTCTACCAGAACATCTTCACCTCGATGCAGGCCATGATCCGGGCAACGGAGACCCTCAAGATCCCCTTCAAGTATGAGCAGAACAAGGTAGGCACCGTCAACCCAGTATGTGGGTTTTAAGAGGGTTTGTGGAACTGGGGCACTGGAGTTTGTACAGTAACTGCTGGCCCAGGAAAATGCAATTGCACCTCCATGAAAGAAGTATTCTTAGAGACTACTTTATTCTCGTCAGAAGCATTGCTGTATATTAAATCAATCCCTATTTTCCAACGCTTTTCATGTACCAATGTCTGTTTGTGTATATATGTATACATTTACAGTATATACATGTGTATATATATATGTATAAAGTTGTATGTAGGTAGGTATGTGGGTATATGTTTGTGTGTGTGTGTATGTATGTGTATATATGTAAATGATACATTTCTTGTATAATTTGACTTAATTTTCAGAACCCTGACTCATAATTAAGTGTGCTTTCTTTGACTCAAAAATCTGATCGATTCGGTCAATTTCTACTCCTTCCTCAGAATAATGCCCTGCTGGTGCGGGACGTGGACGTGGAAAAGATCAGCTCGTTCGATCAGCCGTACATTAGTGCCATAAAAATGCTGTGGACCGACCCCGGCATCCAAGAGGCGTACGACCGCAGGAGAGAGTACCAGCTCTCCGACTCCACCAAATAGTAAGTTCATGTTTATCCCCATTATGTACATTTATGTGTTGTGTCGAGGTTGAAAAGCCCACTCAGACGTTTTGTGATAGTTTTTTTCTGATGTTGACAAAAGACTGTAAATACATGGTGGGCCAACATGAATAGATTACAAGTGACTTAAGCTCTTGAAAATGTATTAATGTGGACATGAACATTTTAAATATGTATTATTATTTTTGGAAAATATCAGTATTTGTTCAGATTATTGATAATTTGTGTGTAAACAAAAGAAAGCCCCAGCTGTTCTCTGTTCTTGGTCCTTTCATTTGCATGTGGTCTGGTAATGTTGAGACATTTGGTTTTGTCTACATGTGCAATTGTCATGTCCCCCCCGCCCCCCCCCTCCTCGCAGTTATCTTAGCAGTTTAGAACGAATAGCGTCTCCGGGGTACGTGCCCAGCCAGCAGGACGTGCTGCGGGTCCGAGTGCCCACCACTGGCATCATTGAGTACCCCTTTGACCTGGAGAATATTATCTTCAGGTATTGGTGCAAAGTACTACCTATGTCACCGGTCGGCTGGCTGTAAAAAAAAAAAAAACAGCCGTCCAGCCAGCCGGAAACCCGTCGATGCCGCTGTCTGCACCTACCCTGCGCTACTCCGCAGGCTCGCCACTCTAACAGGTCCCTGATGGCGTGCTCTCAAAGACTGGCCCACAGAACCGGCCCCTCACCAGCCCCTCACCGGTCACTCGCACTCAGGCAAACGTTAAATCGTCCCTCCAGTCCTCGGCCTAAACTCACCGCTCTTGTCTTTGGGAGCTGCCATCAAGGATCCAGCTGTATTTCTAAGAGAACATCTGGCGGGGTGGTGTTAGCAATGTCACATGAACCCCTCCTAACTCTTGGAAATGTTCTTCTGGTCAGACTGATGCACTTTGCTTTGGAGTGTCCATATCTACTGTTACGCTTCACTTTCTATTTCCTCCCTCTCTCTCTTTTTTTTTTTTTGTCTTTGTTTGCATTTCTTCCCGTCTCCAGCTATCTAAGTGATCTGGATCGTATTGCCGAACCGTCCTATCTACCAACCCAACAGGATGTGCTTAGGGTTCGAATCCCAACCACTGGGATCATAGAATACCCTTTCGACTTGCAAAGCATCATTTTCAGGTAGAAGAAGAAACCCTTTACTTTGACTTTTCCCCAAAGTTTTTGTAACCTGTTCAGTCTCAAATCTGTGTCAGTGTGCTTAACAACTCGTTTTATTTCCCCATTTGTGCGTGAGAACGCAGTGTCTCAACTCCACCTCTGATCCATGTGTTGATGCATGTAGTTGGATAAATTAGCCTAGTTGTGGGAAGTTTAACAGGTGAGCCACGGAACCATCCCTTTACAATGCAGCCAGACAATATTTGCCTTTTTCAGTCGTGCCTTCAGCATCAGATCTCATGCTACATGTGTGGTTCATTCACTTTTCCACTGAGTAAGAAGACATAGTAGCAAGTTGTTTCTCGGCCTTTCAGCTCCTCCATCTCGTTCCTTTGCTCCCAGTTAAAGATGATAATTGTCAGCTGAGGAGAAAGTCTCAAAAACAACCATGGCATCGTTTTATATTCTGATTATCTGGCGTTTGAGGGGAAATATCAACCTATTGTGAGACTTCTCGACACTAAAATGTCACCGTATAGCTGAAATGGCTTGTATCACTTCATTAAAAACCCATCTAGATAGATGAGTCGTTGTGAAATGAACTGCGTTTAAATCCATACGGACGCCTGCTGAGCGTCTCCTCTGTTCTGAAATGTTTGAGTAGACCTGGCATGCCATAGCCGCTCAGAGGTGCAGGCCCAGAAAGCGTACCGGGGCCGCCGTGCTTCCGAGAAGCTTTCTGTCTTTCTCCTCCTAAACAAAAGAGGAGGCGAAGGAGACGGGCACGGGGAACAGGAGCAATAACAGAAGGGGCGCAAATCGATAGGAAACCATCACGCCGGCTCCCTCCTACGCTCGGCGAGGCTCGAAATAACTCCGCTCGCGGTGAGGCTGTGCTGAAGAGGTTCCCGGCAACCCAGCAGCGATCCGATAGGCTGCCAGCCCAGGGTGAATCGCCCAGAAACTCTAAATGGCTGTCGGGTGAAAAGAGTGACACGAAGCGTCGATGAATTTGAGGTTTTCGTTTTGGCCAGTAGGAGAAATTCAATTAAATTTTATTTATATAGCGCCACATCACAACAACAGTCATCTCACAGCGCTTTCCAAACAGAGCAGGTCAGACCCTACTCTGAAGTTAATTACAGAAACCCAACAATTCCCACCATGAGCAAGCACTAGGCGACACAGGCAAGGAAAACTTCCTGTGTAATGTGTAATAAGGAAGAATTCCAGGAACGTGATAACACGCTTTGGTTAAATGTGCCGTAGATGTGATCCAGGAGGAGGAGTTTTTAGTTGAATCTGTGGATGGGAGTGGTCGGGACTAGAGCCCCCCCCCCCCCTTCCAGCTGACTCGTATGCAGCGGCAACAAGGATGCCTTTCATAGGCAACCATCTCCACAAGCCTCGCTTCCTTCTTTTTTTTTTTAAAATTGGCTTTTGATGTCACAGAAAATGTAATTTAATTTGGTTTATCCAAGCAGGAGAGCTAATGGAACTAAGTAGGTCATCCGTCCTCGCTGGGGGGGGGGGTAAGGCGGGCGTCTGATGTGAAGGAGTTTTATTTTAGGCTGGTTTTCTGGAGGACGTGATTTATCAATGTCAGCCCCCCGTCGGGCGGCTCACCTTTGAGGTGCTTCAGGGTTCTTCGTCGCGCTGATGACAAACTGCTCCCATGATTGGTTTAGATTTTCCGCGAAGCACTCCGAGACCGAAACGTGCAGAACTGTATAATTCATTCTTCCACCAGGGCGAGAATATCTCTTCCCGTGGCTCCAGCGTTAGCGTCAGCCCTCCATCTGCCTCGGCAACTGCCATTTTCTTTGTTCTAACTCCACCAGGAAGGTTCAGGTTGGGTGTAAATAAAGCAAAAACAGGCATCCAGGCTTCAGTTGTGTCCGTCTCCACACCGCCGTGTCTCTCTTCCCGATTCCATGTTGTCCTTCTCCTGCCGTCCTCCTTCGGGCTCCGCTCTCCTTCCACTCGGCACTTTCACAGGCATTACTAAATCTGGCTTGAAATCTCCTGCATGCCCGCCGTGTCGTCGGTTTGGTGGTGGAGGGAGACGCGCACGCTTTCCTACAGCCTTCCCTTTGGGAATTTCTGCCCTCTCTGCCTTATAATTCACACTATATGTTCCCATGTCCGTTATTCTGTTGATAATCTTTTAGCAAATGCTATGTTTTTGCCTTCATTTTAGCTCAATTTTAGTGATTTCCGGACAAACGTCCAGTTCCTTAAAGTTTAACTCTACACACTTCTGAAAACATTACAGCTCCTCTCCTGATTTGATTTGATTAACATTCTTAACTGAGTCCCTCCACATTGTCTTCTGTGGTTTTTATCTCATGTAACAGTTAATTGTAGTAACATCTAATACATTTTTATTACATTAAGTCATTTGACCCGTGTATCCTTATTTTCTGGAATTACAGCTTTATTTTTCCAACACTTAAAGAGTTAAATCTTTGAGAATATTGGTTAGAGTACGATTATCTGATTTCATAAAAACAGAAGACCCAGTGAAGAGCTCATTTCAGTTTGTCCTTGTGTGTGTGCTAACCGTGGCCTTATCTCCCCACGTTTCCCTCAGGATGGTGGACGTCGGGGGTCAGAGGTCAGAGAGGAGGAAGTGGATTCACTGCTTTGAGAACGTAACGTCCATCATGTTCCTGGTGGCGCTCAGCGAGTACGACCAGGTCCTGGTGGAGTCGGACAACGAGGTGAGACGCGGCCCACGTTTCCAGCACCACATTTTGACAGCATGGAGGCCTTTATTGTATTTGAATCCATACAAAAACAACAACATTTAAGCAGGTTTTCACTTTGACTTTTAATCCATTCAGTTCTTCGGGAAGCACTGGAAGCAACACAGATCCTGTTCACAAGCTCAAACTTATTTAGATTCTACTTGTGTAAAGTCTGGTTGTAGTGCTCAAACAAAAGTTTATTTTTTTATTTTTTTTTTATAACCACAGAAGCAATTCCAGAGCCGGTTCAGTCTTAACTTGGAACCAGTTCTAGGTGTTCTGAAAGCCCGGGGCCACGCTAGAACAAAGCTCCCATCGCAGCTTTGTGCTGCACGGGGCCGTGTTCTCGCCCCCCCGTTTTCTCCAAAACGTTTCCCTCGCCTCTTGTTGGATAATCAGAAGGTGCCGTAAGCGTTTAAGCTCAAGCAAATGTTTTTTTTATTTTTTAAATCAACAAATTCATCGACTGTTAAAATAACCATTCCACAACTGAAAACAATGGTCAGAGTGGCAGAAACACACTTCAGTTTAAAATTACATTTATTCTACTAAACCTGAGGGAGAAGGAAACAAAACTACAAGCAATATGTAAAGACAGGGGGGGAAACGAGATGAGTCCAGATCCAGAGGAGCCACGTACCTCACAATTTGATATATTTGTTTATCTAAATAGCTCTGTTTCCCCTCATCTGGGACCTCCTTCCAGTCATCTTCCAGTGTACCAGTCTTGTTTGATACTTAAGTCATTTTGTTGTTGATATTGGATATGGAATTGGTTACCTGAATAATTTAGGTGTGTTTTCATATTATGTGGGCAGTATTTATTCAAATTTCTAGAGTGAAAGGAGGAGCCTCTGGCTGTTTTTTGGGTATTTTTTAAATAATTTTTTAGATTTTTTTTTATAGGATTAAAAAAAAAAAAAAGATTACATGTTTTTGATCTCCTGTTCTTTTGGGGCTGATCAAGATGTAGATTCTGGAAAGGCCGACAGAGTTGGAATTTGGCTGATGACAACAGTTCTGTATAGAACCAACAGTTTATATAGTCGTGTCGAAAAGTTGGAGAATTAAAAAAATTCCACACGTGTCCAAATACAGCCTGAGCATTTGTGCATTGTTAGTCAGACTCCTTCAAAAGTATTTGGTCCATACCATTAGCATTGGCTCCTCTGACTATCCGGGCAGAATTAGAGCTAATGATGCTAATGTGATCAGGCTCTGCGTGTCCACTTCCCTTTCTGACAACAAAGCCATTCTGTGGACTGGTCATGTGATGACCGGGTCTCATAAACGCGGGGTTACGAGCTTCCTCGATAGCCCCCCTCAGACAGCCGAGCTTTCCCCATCCCTGGAAGTTAATTTCTCCATTGTGAGATCATTAAAGTAGTCATCAATCAATCAATCCATCCCTGCATCGCGATGGACAATTGTGGCTTTTGTTAAACTCTGATATCTTAACAGTTATCGGCGAACCCAAAGCCGCAGCGAGTTCAGGCTTTACGCCGTGCGGAGATTATCTTGTTGTGATGACGGGCTTATGTCTGAGATTTTGTCTCTTCGGATCCGATGAGATTACCGAAAACCCAATAGTTTCCCAGATACCAAACATCCCCAGTTTCACACAAAAGGCTTCCTGGCATAGAAGACTGGAGGAGGACGTTATCTTTGACTCCTGAGCATTCTAGTTCAGAGACTTAAAAAAAACACACATACAAATGGAAAGGTTTGATTTTTTTTGTTAAAAAATGTATTTTTATATATTTATAATATTGAAAAAAATAAATAAATAATAAAAATCCAAAAGGAACCCGCTAAAGGTTATGTTTTTTAAGCTTTTGAAAGGTTTTAAGTTCTTTGTATGCAAATGGGACTGTATTTGAGTGTAGTTTGACTTGCAGGTTTTACATCTGTATTAAATAACCTCCTTTTTCTTGTCTTTTTCTTCATCCCTCCCTCCTCCCCGCTTCTCGGCAGAATCGTATGGAGGAGAGCAAGGCTCTCTTCAGGACCATCATCACATATCCATGGTTCCAGAACTCCTCTGTCATCCTTTTCCTGAACAAGAAAGACCTCCTGGAGGAGAAGATCATGTATTCACACCTGGTTGACTATTTCCCAGAGTTTGATGGTAAGTTTACCCTTTTTTTAAAAATCTTTTATTCTCACCGAGATAATGAAGTTGTGTTCAGGGTCTTAATCAATTCCTGCAATAACTCTGCAGCTATTGAAAGCAGTTATCCTGTCTCATTTCTCACATGAAGTTCTAAACCTTATCATGGAATGTTTGCAGAGGATTTTAACTTGAGAGTGACACCTTGTGGCAGCTATGGTGCACTACAGCAAATCAGGAGGAAATTATTCTAAAGAAGCATCATCCACTATGATTGTGGAGAAAGTCTGGCCAAAATATTGCAAATTTCACGACCTCTTGGAGAGTATTTGGCCGGAAGAGTCCTGGCAGATATTTTGTGTCACCTGTTGAGCTTCTCAGCAAGCGAACCATTATCACATGGGGCCTTAATTTGACTATATTTGAGACGGAAGTTCCTTTTGATTGGGACAAACTTCTCTTTGGGGATCTACACTCAACATCTGCCAATATGAACAAAACACCTGTTTGGTTTACTGAGTGTAGCAGCCAGAAAAACAATTATGACGAAACAGCTTAAGCCAAAGAGTCCATCTGTTAAAGACAGGTAGGATATTTTTATGACATTGGTATGGAATAACCTTCTCTGTGAGACTACAGAAAACTAAAATGTCATTAAATAAATGTCACTTTCTTTACATCTAATACACACGCAAACGCACACACACGCACACATATATAGATATACACACATACAGTGGGGGAAATAAGTATTTGACCCCTTGCTGATTTTGCAGGTTTGCCCACTTACAAAGAGTGCAACAATATATAACTTTAATCATATGTACATTCTAAGAGTGAAAGACAGAATCCCAAAGAAAATTCCAGAAAATCACATCATATGAATTTATAAAAATTTATAACCATCTGATGAGGAAAAATAAGCGTTCTTTGTAAGTGGGCAAACCTGCAAAATCAGCAAGGGGTCAAATACTTATTTCCCCCACTGTATATATATGTGTGTGTGTGTGTGTGTGTGTGTATGTATGCATGTTTATTTAAACAAAGAAAAGTGGGAACTCTGCATAACTTTTTAAGTAACGAAAATAGTGTGAAGTTATTCTAAATGAAGACTCCATTTTAAAAACATAGAAGGAAAAAAGAAACCCCTCTCCCATCTCGACCTCGTTGAATGTGGTGAATAACGAGGGGCGGCCTGTCGTTCTCCAGGTCCCCAGCGGGACGCCCAGGCGGGCCGGGAGTTCATCCTGAAGATGTTTGTGGACTTGAACCCGGACAGCGACAAGATCATCTACTCGCACTTCACCTGCGCCACCGACACCGAGAACATCCGCTTCGTCTTCGCCGCCGTCAAAGACACCATCCTGCAGCTCAACCTCAAAGAGTACAACCTGGTGTGATGGTGCAGGAGCCCGACACCCCCACCCCCTCACACACACACACACACACACACACTCGCAATGTAGCGTTCACACCGCCGCTTCATACTTTACCCGGGACTTTACCGCACTATTCCCCCCCCCGCCTCTGTCCATTCGGCTGTCCAGTTTGTTGGTTGGCTGGAGCTGGAGAAGAGGGGTCGTCCATTTCCATGCTCCTCGTGCAGATTTTAGAACAGAACGCCTGTTTTTTTTTTAGTTTTTTTTTTAAAGTTTGCTCAGCTCCAGCTCTCCATTTTTTTGTTTTTTATGGCCCTTATTTAATTTCCGCCACACTACATTATCACATTATGTGTCTGCGGTGGGGTGGAGGGCCTCTCCCGTGGACCCGTGCGCGCCCCCCCACTACAGCCGGGACCTCCTGGAGACTCCTTCTGGTGATTTCTGAGGCACAGTGAGGTACCTGCCCCCCTCCCCCTGGACTGGAATGGTTGTTTTTTTTCCTTTTCTTTTTCTTATTACAAATCCCGCTCCGAACCAGAGAACGGGAGCTCTATTGAATGTAAATAAAGTTTTCATGCTGCCCACAGAGCGAGG